GGCATTTTTAAAGCCCTAATGACACAAAACTATGATCATAAAGTTAAGATGCTATCAATTTAATCTAGCTTACCAAATGTTTTCTATGGCAGTTTTTCACATTCATTTTATGAAGTGGTTATAATCACGGTATACTTCCTGGCTGTGGGATCTTGGAAAAATTTAAACTTTCATTTTCTCCTGTGAAATAGAAAATAATGACAACTGCTTTTATGGGATTGTGAAGCAAGTACTGTGGTACTCAGCATATTGGAAGCACTCATGTTAATGGTGTCATGGCCAGCATTAGGAACTATGCAGTCATGTGTGGCTTAGCAATGGGGACACATTCTGAGAAATGTGTTAGGCCGTTTTGTCATCGTGCGAACGTTGTGGTTACTAACACAAACCTAGAGTGTAGTCTGCTACACACCTAGGTTATGTGCTGGCTTACCCCATCATGCATGTGGCCCAGGATTAATCAAACGCCATAGTGCAACACATGTATGTATCTTAATGGTACACTGGGGTGCAAGGGCAGTAATCTGACTCAGTTGCTGTCTGTGAAAAAAAAGGATTTGTTGGCTTTGGGTGGGGACTGTATGGAATACACCCTGAAGGATTTGGGACTCAATGGCTCCAACTTCCTGGAGCTATTCTCAGGTAGCTGCAGGCTTCCATACCAGTGGCTTCCAGCAGAAGTCCCAGCGGTTACTGATCTGTCATCCTGCTTTGCTCCTAAACCAATCATGTTAACCTGAGGGGATTAAGCTACTTCCTTTTGTAACCCTGATGAGAAGGGTGAGCCTAGAATGTTGAGCAGGGTGTGGAGAAATTGCCTAAATGGAGAACTGTGGAAAACTTCTTTTCCCGAGCAGAAATGGGTGTGCCCAATGACCCACTGCTGGACTGCCTGACAGTTCTTCCTATTATATCTGCATAGACATGATCAGAACTGCTTTCCAGGACAACTGTTTTGTTACTGAACTAGCCATCTTAGTTGAAGCTTCTAAAGTTAGCACATACTCTGTAGTAAAATCTACTCTGGATGGCTCCTCAGCGTGATACGCTGGGCATGTCCAACCTTTACTTCTGCTCAAGACGAAATGATGGTGCCTCCCATTGGGCACCAGACAGAATGGTTATTTTTCTAGTGGAGAGTCATGTAATGTGAAGATCTATCCAATCAACAAGAATATCTCAACTCAATAAGATGTTCAAAACATGAAGGGACCAAGAGAGATTTTCACTTTCCTGGGTTGCTCAGGACAGAGACCGAAACAACCTCCATTGTATACCTCCCGCCTAGTTTTTTGTTTCATTTCCCAAGCATGTGTGGTGGAATTTGCAAAGCTAAGCATTGAAAGAATGTTGCTCCATCATATATCAGCATGCTTAGCCCTTCTCCAAGAGTCCAGTTTTTGCTGCCACCCTCTGATCAAAAACTGTGTAGTCCTCTGAATCCCAGCCAACCCATGTTCCTGAACAGTGGGTGGAAAGATAACAGGACAAAATCCAACAGAAGTGGACTTTTGGGAAAGGGGTCTGATACACAGTAGTAGCCTCGACAGCCTGTCACGTCCTCCTCCACAGGGACAGTGGGTTCATGGAGCCTTGCTGGCATTGACCTGGTGAGGAGTCAACATGGCTGCCCCAATTCCTATCTTCCGGGAGGTTCTTCTGGAACTGCTCTCTTACAGGACTTTTCTTTTTGGTGTAGAGTTATAGGCCTAGTAATTCAGCCTTAGAGTCTGAGATATCTTATGTTTTCTCAGGCAATAGAAATGACTTTAAAATTCAGTGATTTCCGGGGCCTCCCTGGTGGCACAGCTGGTAAAGCACAGCACTAAGAAGCTAAAGCCACTTCAGCACGATTTTGATTCCCATCCCCAGAGGTGACCCACATGGCATGGCAGACTTCTCCTGACCCACCCTCTGCTCCCCTCAGCAGTGTACTTCATCAGGAGGTCTGTTCTGCTCCCTTCTATGTCTCTGGTGAATCCTCTCACTGCCCCTGCATCTCAGGGCCTATACCTCAGTCCTGTATGCATAAATAAATAAATCTCTTTTTAAAAATTTAATGGTTTCCTCACTACTATTTATACAGTTGGTCGACTTTGTGATTTGGTGTTGGGTAACCAAAGTCATATTGGGCCTCACTAGTCCTGGGCCTTGAAGTTAGCTCTCAGTTTCATAGCAAAAGATCTTTGGAAATTTCCTTAGGCTGTATCTTACTGCTTCTACCAGAGCTAGAGCTCTGCCTCCAAGCTAATGAAAACAGCCTGGGATGGGGAGGCAAAACTAATGTGCCCCAGGCTTCTGGCCAGTGGGGATCTTGTTGTGAGGGCTCAAGCAGTGTTCTGTGACTTTAGCTAATAGGCAGAGAATACAGCCCTGGGCCTTCTTGAGTTGCTTGCTACAGAGAGCCATAGCCACCATAGCACAACTATTTTCTTTACTTTTCAGTAAGCCAACCTCAAATGAAACTCATGTCTCTCAGTAGTAATTTCCTGAAGGCCACAAGACATGACCACACACCCGTGTCTCTAACAAGCCGGCCAGCTCCCCCACTCAACAGGAGCCCATCTTGCCGCAGCCATTTCCACAAGGCTGTCACAAACCTTCAGGTTCCTAACTCAAAGTATTTTGAGCAAAAGGGAGGTTGTATTGCCTAAGGTAGCTGAAACTTCTGGGGAACTAGTCCCAAAGACTTAACCAACTGCACAATTTTGAAGGCTGGCCTCACCCTTTTTTCCACTCTGCTTTCTTCCAAGCCCCCTCCCCTTCCACACACCTACAGCCTGTTCTCAGGTAGCTTCAACTACCAGCTTATCAACCTTACCAGGAAGACAAACCCCTCCTGCCAGTAGATCCAGAAAATTTCCTAGACTGTTAAAGGGAAGGGTTGTCCCAGTGAGCGACACTGATGACCTAGAGCTGATGGCTGAGCCAACCAAACAGGCTCACGCAAGGATTTAACAGAATATTTAGGAGGGGGAAATGAAGTTGAGAAAACAAATATATGAATCATTTCTAGGTCTTCCGAGTTCTGGTTAGCTCAGCAGGACCCAACAACAAGAATACATGGACCACAAATGAAAGCCACATTAGGTATACACTGTGAAAGCAGCCATAGGTATAAAATGAAACAAGTAAATAAAACAAGTAAATAAAATGAAACAAGTAAAATAACCATTTTCTTACCAAACAGGTTTCCATGAACTGGGTAGTTAGTTTGAAAGTATGAAGCTCCTCAATTGAAGAACTTTCCCTAAAATGAGCCTGAATTCACACTGCCAATTCACATTGGGTTCTGGCTTCTTCCCTGCTGAGAACACCAGCATACCCACACAGTGAGAACCCCACAAGTATTCACTTAGTTGTCTTCTCTAAGCCCAGCATGTACACAGAAGACACAAAGTAGATATTTTTAAAGCGAAATTGAATCATGTGAAACCATACGTGAGGACTTCTATTCAACCAGGTTTGATGAGAAAATAGAGTAATACTAGTTGAAAGCTAGGTTGAGTGTTGGCAGTGCTTGTTATCCTGATGAATGGCCACTGGTAGTGTGTGACTAGCTGTGTTACATTTCAGTCACTCTTTCACTGACAGAATGCAGAAAGAGTGTGACGGCATACCGACAGAAACTCAGGCTCTGTGCCAAGCACTGGGTATACCAGGATAAGTGGGAAACAGTCACTGCCTTCAAGGAAGTGAGAAAATCGATAGGTAAAATAACTCTTACATTCAATGAGTGTTACGATGCCAGCAATGTTTGGGGAGCTAAGGAAGGAGCCTCACCCCTGTTGAGAAACAGAAATCGACAGCAAAGATTTACTGGGGGGAAGGGAGTCGGAGTTCCATCTCACCCCCCACCTGGCATCTACATTGAATCAGTGACAGTCAGTGTCCTAAAAGAAAACAGAATTTATCCATCTGAGTGTAGGTGGATGATCTTTGCATGGGCAGAAAGAGCTAGCATGAAGGCCCAGGGCCAGAACCACCATCCCAGTGCTAGATGATGATGAGATCCCAAGCGATGAGCAGATTGGCACCCAAACAGCGTCGCCTCCTGCTGTCCCTATGACCAGTGACGAGCGATTGTCCTTTCTTACTACAGGCAAAGCGAAGGCTGGAGCTAGGAGAAAGCGGTCATCAGTACCTCTCAGATGGTTTAAAAACCCCCAAGGGCAAAGGAAGAGCTGTACTCCGAAGTCCAGATAGCCCAAAAAGTAAGGATTCTTTCACCTCTCCCCGTCCTTGTTGTGGGCTTCCCAACTGTCAAAGCTTGTGGCTGAAAGGATGCCAAGGGGTGAGGACTGGGGGCACGTTGTTGTGCTTTTTCATTTCTTTCTGTGCCGATCCAAAAAAAAATAATAGTAAGTACAACCTCAGGAACACTGAGGAAAGGTTTGCACAGTCACTCGTGTACCTGAATTCTGATGCCAGGCAAGGACCCTGTAAAAAGGGTGCATTTTTCCCTTGCAACTCAGAATGCAAGCTCGTTGGCTGCATTCTATAGTCAGGTTTAATTTTAACTTTCCTCTCTAGACATCTCTTCGTAGACGAAGACTAACGGGGTGTAGATGAGCTTTGCCACCTAGTTCCCTTGCTCAGCACATGGCAACAAAAGAACTGATTGAGACCGATGACAGCTCATTTCTCTTTCCATCAGATACAATCGTCAACTTCTTTTGGGAGAGAAAAATTAGGTTGAAATAGTCAAATGACCCTTATATGTCTTTTGCCTTCAAAATCAAGGCCAGATTAGACTTTTTCCCCGATAGTTTGTGCTTTGGGCATATCACACATCATGTGTGATGATCACGTAAGTCCTTGACGTGTGCATCTGTAAGAGATTAAATACAATATTGAATAAGGACTTTTTGTTTAAGAGGAGGCGGGCAGGTTTGTTTGAAAGCTTTTTCCAGATATTCTTCAGTAAAGAAGAATAAAGCAATCCAGGTGTTGCTTCACATAAAACATTATTTGAAAACTGGTGAACAAGTTATAGATACACAGACATGGGAACCTGAAGTCCCCTTCCGAGGGGTCTGTCTGAGCCCCCAACAGGGAATACTAAAGAGATTCGTGGTCCCATCAAGTTTGGCTCCACGTGTGCCGATCCCACGAGTCTACAGCACTTTCTCATTCCGTTGACAGATAATTTTGAAAACATGCATTATGTCACTAGACCCAGAGAATAGGATAAGCCAAAGTAGAACCTAAAAGAAAATCACAGTAAAATGCTCAAACAAAACAAGAATGTGTACTGTCCCTTCCTGTTCTAATCAAGCAAATTTATAGCTTTCTAGAGCTTAGCAAAAATCAGCAGCAACAACAGCTCTGCTTCCTATACTAATGCTTGGGCTGCTGAGGGAAAAGGGCTTGCTTAACTGCAAAGAAACCCTTCATTGCTTTACCTTTCCCCCTGTCCCCTACCCGCTCGGTTTTTGTTTTTCTTTAAGCTCCAAAATCTCCCTCAGAAAAAACACGGTATGATACATCACTTGGTCTGCTCACCAAGAAGTTCATTCAGCTACTGAGCCAATCACCTGATGGGGTCTTGGATTTGAACAAGGCGGCAGAAGTGCTGAAAGTGCAAAAGAGAAGAATCTATGACATCACCAACGTGCTGGAAGGCATCCACCTCATTAAGAAGAAGTCTAAAAACAACGTGCAGTGGATGTGAGTAGGAGTCTTGACCCGCCCCCTCCCCGATATTCCCCCGTTCGTGGTTCTGATGGGATCCTTGCAAAACTCATCGGGATTGCCCCTGTCCTGACTTGGATGTTTCTGTGTGGGCTCACGTGTGTGATCTAATATAAACTTTCAGGTTTGTCTCTAAAAGGGACTTGGGAATTCACCATGGCTTGATAGTAACATCTGTGTGCTGATGGACATTGGTGCAATTACCACATAGCTTTATCCATCGTTTTAATAGCAGATTAACCCACTTTCTAGATCCATTAAAATGTTCCAGTTCTTCTGGAAAGCAGGAGTGACACTTGAGCCCTGTACACCTACATGTATGATTCAATTATTCAAATGTCTTTGGTGAACTCTGGGTTGGTTACCTGGTCGCCCAGTATTTTAGAAGGAACTATTAAAGCATGATTGGAAGGAGTAAATGTGGTCTGGGGTCTGTGAAGAAGGCCACATAAAACATGATAAGATGAATAGGTATCTTTGCTGCTTTTTTTTTTTTTTTAATTTTGTGGCTATTTGGTAACCGTATTTCACGTCTGCTTTAGAGAAAACTGTTGGGTATTGGTCTTTTTTCTTTTTATCAGATTTTATTGCCTGGGAGGCATGTGACAGAAGGAGCTGTGTGTATGAAAATTTTAAAAAGTACAAATGTTCTAATTTTAACACTTGACTAGAACCAGTGTGACCTCCTGTATCAAGAAGACCAAAGGGCCATTTCTCCTGTCCTCCCCTACTCCTCCTCCCCTTAGCTTCTCCTGAGTGGCCATGAAGAGTTTGTTTTTTGGTTTCTAGGGGCTGCAGTCTGTCTGAGGATGGGGGCATGCTGGCCCAGTGTCAAGGCCTATCAAAAGAAGTGACCGAGCTCAGTCAGGAAGAGAAGAAATTAGATGAATTGATCCAAAGCTGCACCCTGGACCTCAAACTGTTAACCGAGGATTCAGAGAATCAAAGATATCCTTTGTACCACCTGTTTGCTGGGGGTTAGTGCTTTCCAGAATATTTTCAGGCCTGATGATATAATGTCTGTGCACAAGGTAGACTCTTACTCTAGCTTCATTGGCCTGTGTGCTCATGTAAAAACCTCGTTTTTGCCTTACACGTCAGTATTCACGGAAGGTAATTATTGGACTCAATCCTGTCATACCCATTTTGATAGCCCGGTGGAAACTGTTTTTGAAAGCATTTTTATCACGTGTGGTGGGGACATCTGGATACACCCATAGCGTAAGGCAACACTATTATAAGATACGTGAGGTGTCAGTATTAATATTAATGACAACATTCGGCAGATTCATCTTGGGCTTCCCAGATTTCTGGTGGGTGTTAGCTGTCACTGTTGGGGTTCTCACATTCTATTTTCTTTTCATCAGATATTAGAGCAGTTGCAATTTGTTGAATCTGTCTGATTGAGCTAGAGTGGAGGGGTTTGAAAGAGTATAGAAATATTCTATAATTTTAAAATGTATTATGCTGATTCACAACACCAAAAACTGAATTCAGAAAGCACCCTAGGGCCTGAGAAACCTCAGTTTTATCTGTTCGTCTTCAAACATTAGTCCTGGGAATGAAGCCATTTTGTATTCTCAAATGGTTTACGATCTGTTGACCAGCTCAGGAAAACTTAATCGCCCATCATCTCAATAAGCCCAGGATGAGAGATCATGTCATGATATTGACTAGAAGACTTTGTAATATTGCAGCTACTTAGTAGGAGACAGAACCACTTTTTTTTTGTTTTGTTTTGTTTTTAAGTTAAACAGTTTCTCATTTTAGTTCCAAACTACTGATGATTTCACATTTGCTTTTTGCTAGACAATGAAATGGTCCTACCCAGTTTCTCCCAATGTCTCATCTGTAATAGTGGGTCTCCCTCAAAGAGTACAAAGATATTTATTTTCCAAGTCAGACAGTTTTTTGAAACTGATTGTTCATTTCCTGTTGACCAAAGGATTAACCTTGTCAACTGATGATGAGTGAGATGGAGAAGAGAGGTGATGTTTTGAATTCCCAGTGGTGACCAGAGTCGGTTTACAGGGGAAGAACCCAAAATAGCTTTGGTTGGGCTGTTTCATTCATTGTTTAGGTGGAAGCCCCATTGTGGAGGAGATGGAGTGGTTATGTGTGATTGGCAGCTTTCTGGAACATGTAGCTTATAGCCTTGTCACCTACATCAGCTCTCTCTGGGGCCTTTGTTGCAGAAAATGAAAGCTTCCCTGCAGGGGGCTGCTAACCCAAGAAGCAAATTCTGGAGGGAGCCGCAATGGAAGCACTTTCAAGTTTGTAAGATTAGAGAATATGTTTGCACCATTTATTTCAATTCGCCGTTCAGTTCCAAATTCGGTACAGCTTGTTCACAAATGTGTTGAAATTTTCTTTCCTGCAGCATGTTGAGTAATTGTAGATAAGTTTTTATTTTAATGAGTTCTTGTCACATAGCTCTTTGACAATGGGCTGTGGGTTAAATACCTGGCATCATTTTCCCCAGTGTTCTCAGGAAAGATCCAGAAACTGTTGAGTCTTCCTAAAAGGCACCAGTTGGCTGCATTATTGACCAGTAGCCCAGAATCCCACATGTGCTGGGCTAACCAGCGCAGCACTGAATTAGCTGTTGTCTCAACTGTTGAGACTTAAAGAAGATGATAGATGCTCCGAAATATACATTCAGATTTGCAATGGATGTGCTTCTTCTGGGTAGTAGATTCATAGCTTCCTTTGCTTTCTAATAAAAAGCTACTAATCTAAGGATGTCATTTCCTCACTACTCTCTCAGCCCTATTTCTGTATTAATCACATTAGATCACTCTATTACGTATTGATACTCCCTGCAGAAAAGCATTCATGGAGTGGCGATTTGCTCTTATCCTCAGCGTTTTTTGTGAGTTAGTATTTAAAAAACAATTGGCTAAAGACATTGGACATTAGGTATTCCATGCACCTCAGAGAAATAAAGGAATCTGACCTGTTCTCTTTTAATACCTAGTAAAAGTTGCTCTCTACAGGCAAGCTGGCGTGACTACTTTTTATCATTTAATAAGTGCCATATTCCTTCATGATATCCTCTTTGGTTTGGCTGCCAGGGCATTTAAAAGAATCGTTCAGTGCTCAGAAGTAATTACCAAGAGTTCTAAAATATTATTTCACTCTCTTCCTAAATCAGGGTTTCTCAACTTCATTCAGGTTGCAGAACATTGGAAGCTGCTTTCCACCTTGGGAACACTGAGATAGTGATAGAGTTAATAATATCATACAAAGGATATTTTTTCTAACAGAGAAATGATGACACTCTTACCAGTCAGCAGTATATAATCAAAAAGCCCAGGAGCACTTAAGGAAACAAGCTGTCTGCCGGAGTGGTCTTCGGTCCTTTCCACACATACATCTCATTTCTTCTCATTCATCTGAGTGACGGCTGACAGTGGCTAATTGTCAAGTAGCAGATAGAAATCTGGAATTTCCTTTAAAAAGTTCTATTAATAGAAATTAATTTTTTCCCCATAAATTGTGATCTGCCATCGTTTAAGATGGTCAACAGAACATTCCCTTGGCAGTCGGAGAAGACGCGTGCTCCAGTGAACCACCCCCCGGGTTTGGATTTTCTTTAAGTTGTTAATTCCTTAACAAATTAACAACCTGTTAACAAATTAACAAGTTGTTAATTTGTGTGGGGGTTTTCTTGATATTTTCAAGAGCCATGAATTTTTCAGAAATGGGCAGGGAGAAGTCATACATTTCATTGTTTAGTATACAATTGGAAATGAGGATTCAGAAGATTTCATATATTTAAAGACCTTGTAGAAGAGGCATACATGTATGTTCCGACAAGTCAGAATACTTAATTCTTTTTTTTCCCAAACCTCTTTTGTTACCGTCATAATGCGTGCACCTGAGTCGACTAGATGGAAGATTTCCTTAACACTCATTACATTAGCTTATGTTACATATCAAGATATTCGAAAAATTAGTGGCCTTAAAGACCAAACTGTTATAGTTGTGAAAGCCCCTCCAGAAACAAGACTTGAAGTGCCTGACCCAATAGAGGTAAGGAGACAACATCTTTGTTCATCTACAGAGACCTTTCTGGATTGTCTGAAGTTGAAAAGTCATTGACTGTGGTTAAAGTCTTTGTCCTCGAGCATTCTTTCTTCTCCACTTACGTAACCCTAAACCTTGGATGGTTCACCCATCTGATGGGTAGTGAGAGGCCATAAAGTCTAGCTGTGACATAGCAGGACATTTGCCTCCAATGGCACGCCATGCCTGGCCTATATTCTCCAGTCTTCTTTTTCATAATGTGTTATCTCATAGTTCTGATCAATTGGAAGAGTTTGGGGAGTGTTGTGTGTACTAACCTGGCTCTTATTTCCACTGTAAATAGAGAGGTAAATATGTCAAACTACCTCCTGACATTATCTTACCACCTCTTAAGAATTTACCATTTGCCACATGTTTGCTTTTGAGAAATCAAAGGGAACTTTGTGTTAATCAATAAACTAGAATATTGTAAGAAAACAGAGCATATGTTTGTGATTGGTTTCGGATGTACAGCCAATCCTTAAGCTCTTAAACATGGCTTTGAACAGCCAGCATCCACTCAGGAGGTTTTCTTATAAACATAAATACTGAACAGTTCTATAAATGTGTTTTCTCTTCCTTTTGGTTTTCTCAATAGCATTTTCTTTTCTCAAGTTTCCTTTATTTATGAATCTATATGACATGCAAAATATATGCTAATCAACTATTCATGCATCAATAAGGCTTCCAGGCAATAGCGGCCCATTAAGTTAGGTGAGAGTCAAGTCATACATGGATTTGAACTGCATGGGGTGGCATCCATAACCCTATGTTGTTTGAGGGTCAAGTGTACTTTAACAATACAGGCTGAGACATAGCTAGAAGATTTTTTTTAATGTGGTAATATACATTGAAAATAAAAAGAGAGTGAAATTTGCAAGCTCCCATCTAGGCTAGAGTTCTCACCTTAAATGATAATAATAGTTCTATGACCTAGATGAAGAAGAATTTTAAATATTAGTATGCTGCATTCTCTTATTAAACTCAGTTCCTAGCACTTAAGAATACAATTCATCCAGCGGTTATTAAAGTTCAGCATAAAAAGATCCTACCATGAAGGAATAATAACATGGAAATACTGTATTTGGAACACTTAGAGGACTTTTTGATAGTTTAATATAAAATGAGCATCTATAAAGAGTACAGTGCACTTTACCTGTAGTGCCACTTTTACAGATGGCCTCCCTCCCCCGCCCCCTGCCCATTGCGCACGTTCTGCAGGCCAGTAGTCAGTACACTTTCTCTTTAAGAGACTAGACAAGTGCCCATTGTTGGCTTTGTGAGCGGCACAGTCGCCAGCCATCGAGACTACTCCTGTGCAAGGCTCTGCCATTGTAGGGTTGAGGGGGGAAAACAGCCAGAGGCAGCCCAGAGCAATGGAACGGGTGTGAGTCTGTGCCAGCTAAACTTTATTTACAAAGCCAGTGGTGGGTGGAGCATGGACTGGATTTGGCTCTGGGGTTGAAGTTTGCTGATCTCTGCTTTAGAGGGTGCCGGTCTTTGTTAGGGCTAGACTCCCAGTGAGGAAGCAAAATGAGACCTACCTTTACTTTCCCTTTTTAGATGAAAATCACCGTAACTTTCATTTCTAAAAGGGATTTCAGTTCGAACTTATCCCTTCTTCTGTTCTAGAGCCTACAAATACATTTGACCAGTACCCAAGGACCCATTGAGGTTTACTTGTGTCCAGAAGAGACTGAAACACACAGTCCAATGAAAACAAATACCCAAGACCACAATGGGAATATCCCTAAACCCACTTCCAAAGGTAAAAATTCCATCTTGTCATTTGGGAACTATGTTAAAAATGAAGGTGACTAACTAGGAGGATCCTGTATCGGAACCACAAGTCCAGGCAAGAAAGGAAAACTTCCGTTATTATTGTTATTAAAGTAACTTTTTATAAAAAGGCATTCTGATGAGTTGACAGAATAAAAGAATGATCTAGGGCAACCAACTCCTCCACCCATTCACGGAGTCTCAGCTTTTGCTGTCGGCAGAACCCATTTCCTTACAGTGAGGAGAGAAGCTGGGAGCTGGCGAGGTGACTCATCAGCTACCCTTGGTCACACACCTATAAAAGATGCTGCAGAGATCAGTAAGCAGGCAAATGAGAGAAAATTGGGAGAGAAAGTTCTTGTTGAAGTTTTGTGTTCATGTTTCCCCAGTATGGTGAGAGCATATGAGGAGGAAGGCCCCCAGAAACGCATCTGTCTTCCCCTCTACTGTCCCCAGAGCAAAGCATCCTTTGCATCTTTTGTGTGTGTGTCTGTGAGCTTCTGGTTGGGGGTGTATGGTCAGTTTCTACCCCACTTGCTGCCAATATAGCAGCAAGAGTAGGAGTGATTTAAGTGAATAGGTCTACTGGGCAAAAACAAGAGCCCACCGCACTGCAAAGCAAAGGTGCTGTAATGCAAAAGCGTCATGTTTTTCTTCATAGGAATTCAAAGTGGATATGTCTTATTTGTTGATGATAAACTGGTCTTTAATAAACTGGTTCCAGAAGGCCTCACATTCTAGCTGGTGGATTTCTACTAGGGAACCAACGTTTCAATGGGTGCATTTTCTTTTCTTGATATGACTGTTACCAAAGAGCAGTTTTTGAGCTCGTTAGCCTCTCATCTATGAAGCTATTAGTATACTTGTTTGGTAACAGAAGGTATTTGAAAACATGAATGAGTGGACTAGACCAAAGAAAGGCAGGAACAGAGACCCTAGCCTTCGAGGTGAACATTCTCACAGCCGTCTGACTGTCCTCAGGAAAGGGAGTGTGTGTTCGTAACAGCAGTGTGTTTGTTCTCCCAGAGAAATGAGCCTGATTTCTTTCCTAATGCATTTGTTTCCACCAAATTTTTCCTTTCAGACTTGGCTTCAACCAACTCAGGACATAGTGATTGCTCGATTTCTATGGCAAACCTTTCTCCTCTGGCCTCCCCAACCAACCTTTTACAGCAGACTGAGGACCAAATTCCTTCCAACCTAGAAGGACCATTTGTGAACTTACTGCCTCCCCTGCTCCAAGAAGACTATCTCCTAAGCCTTGGGGAGGAAGAAGGCATCAGCGATCTCTTTGATGCCTATGATTTGGAAAAGCTCCCCCTGGTGGAAGACTTTATGTGTAGTTGATTATGCTTTGTGTGAACTTCCCTTATAAACCAATATTTTTTTATCCTGGAACCAGAACATCTGTCATGCAGTGTTGTCCCTTCCTACCTTCTTCCTCTGAGATAGTATCATGAAGTAAACTGCAAACTTCAGAACAAAGCTGACATTTTAATAAATTGAAAGAAAATTTTTTTTTTTTTTTTTTTTTTTTTGTCTAAACGCACAGCGGCAGGTTCCTTCTGGAAAGTCCTGCTTTGCCCCAGGCTCCAAAATCTCCTGGATGAGTCAGCAAGTGAGAAAATGTGCAATCAGGTGTCTCTCACCGTATCTTTCCTCCCTCCCTCCTGGATTGGCTTGCTGTGCCTGACGGATAGGCTGCAGAAGGGGGTCTGGACACCTGGCCCACTCGAAAACAGCAATCTTCCTTAATAGCATTTCAAGCCGTGCCTTCTCCACGGAATGCATGTCTTTGGGGGTCTGCTAATATGGAATGGAACGGCGGAACGGCAGGAACTGTAAACTTGAAGTCATGCAAAAGTCTGAAATGGATTTCTTCAGCTCTTAGGAATATTTAAATTACTGTCATCGTTCAGTTTAAGCTATGGACTGTGGGTCCCCTAGGAAGGAGGTCAACCACCCTCCACAGCCTTTCGGATAAAGAACCCGATTTCAAATATTTGTTGCAGATACAGAAGAATCGTGGAATTCTGCCACTCTCGAGCTGTTGTGGATTTTCCTGTCTCCAGAAACCACTCCGACTCTTTCCCCTTCCCTCCCATCTCCCCCCCACCCCCAACGTATTTGTAAGTTTAAAGTTGATTTGTAGCAAATGCCTACTTAGAAGTTCTTTGTGGATTGTTTTATTAGACTTTCGTTGTCAGGTTGGTTTGTTTGTTTGTTTGTTTTCAGCTGCCATTTATGCATTCCTGTGGTACCCATCACCATTTCAATTTAATTGTTTACTAAGAAACGGTTTTTTGCTCGTTTTGAGTTTATTTAAGCAGAGGGAGAGAACCTCTATGATCATCTAAACCTGTGTGATCTAAGTTTTAACAGCCTCTGCAAAGAAGCATTGCCCCATCTTGCTTCCTGTCCCAGGAGCGGGAGCTTCGAACCAGCAGTGTTGGGGTTCGCTGACGTGGGTGGCCCGTGGCAAAGAGAACCAGGTCAGGTGACAGCGGTCCCCAGGAGCAGCAGGTGTGGGTCCCTCCGTTCTTGGGCTTCCCGGGCCCCGGTGACCGGGGAAAGGGCTCTCTTACATTCACTCAGGGAGACCACTTCTCAGGATGGGGTCAGATGGAGCGGCCTCCAGGGAGAAAGATATCCCACCGCCTGTGGTGTTCTGTCAGGGCGCCGAGGCAGAACAGGGAGATCCCACTGTGTCCTGGGCTGCAACAGCCCTGGCCAGAACCTGTCTCCTGCTTCTCGGAAGGAGTGAGTCTGACCAAGGGAAGTCAGGACACAGAGGAAGAGGCTCTGGGATGCCAGGCAGCTCCCACCTTCCGCTTCAGGAAGGGTGTCCCCCAGCCAGAGGCTTCGTGTCAACTGCAAATCCTACCAGTGACGTCCAAAGTGGCTTCCCCCCAACCCCCACCCCTCCTACCCCGGCCGTCTCCCGCTGGGAAAGTGGCTTAGTACCTCAAATCCGCCCCTGGGACGCTAGGGACTGCGGGAATGAGGGAGTCCTACAAAAAACAAACCTCAAAAGGAACAGTTAAATTGAAATGCCACGTGCCCGACACAGAGGTCGGCACATAGCAGGCACACGATTCATATGTTTCATGGAATTGAACATATCCCTTAGGAAAAAATAACAGAATACCGCGAAAGCCCCAGCCTAATGACGCTAGGTGGATTTCCACACTATAAAAGTGGTGGTGGTGGGGTCAAAACAAGTGACACCAGCACTTTAACTATTTGTGTAGGTATGCATGGGTGTATGTTTGGGAAGAAAACAAAGGTGCAGATTATCTTCCTTTTTCTTCTTCGGCCTCCATCCCCAGCCTCCCCCCCCGCCCCTCACGCACACTGGACTTGGTACAAAATATCCGTGTGATCTGAGATGAAGCATTGGGGTGGGGAAGGGGGGGGAGCTTTGTGTCAAGTGCCTACTGGAAATGCACTGTGGGGTTTTTTCCTGTATGGGAAACCATTTATGCCAAGCTTTTCCCCATGTCCCATATTTATCTCATCTGGTTTTGCTGCCTCTGCTTCCAGCTTTGTGTAATTCTCTTTGCCAGCTGCACAAAGCTGATTTTTTCCAAAGTCTAAAGACTGAACTCACCTGGCTAAGTTGTTTGTGTGTTTTGTTGAATTTCTCCTTAAACCTTGTCGTCATGTAATGCCGTATTTATTGCTTGAAAAAATGAAGGGAATACTAATAAGTCTTAAAAGTTCCTTCATGCTTAAGGTTTTCCAGTTCATGGGCTTCACTGGTGTACATTTACTAGAAGTCCATGCTGTATTGTTTGCATTAGTCGTTTTTCTTCTCGACATAGTGTCTGGCACACAAAGGGGTTAGTACTACAGTGTTTGTGTTACTTTCCGTACTAAGTATGCAGGTTCCCTGGTACCATTGAGTTGCTGCTATTTAAGCTCACACATGAAATGGCTAAAAGTTACAAGTGTGCGAATTATGACTGCGTGAGCCTTAGAAGATAAAAATGTTTATAAAGGGCAACACATGAGCTGTCAAACAGTGTTAGGTGTATGTTTATATGTACAGATTGTGCATAGCGATCATTTTATTTAAGTTGATATGTAGTCTGCTCACTTTCATTATCTAGCAATTTTGTACAATACTAGCAATTCATTTGTAAACACTGCCAGAATATTTTCTAGCTGGTTTGTAATTTTTTAAGAGTGTTCTTTTGCTTTTGTTGTTGTTGTTGTGGGTCCTGTTTTCCTTTTTTGTTCTAAGTGTAGATCTGTAAATAAAATTGCAGTATTTAAAGCTTTAGCTTTCAGGAAAAAAGTCAGAACTCAGTGTGTGCATGACAACTCGTGTGTATGAGTGGAGGGATTTGAAGGAAGATGCCTTGGAGAGTGAGTTGGGCGGTAATTGTCAGATTGTGGAAATTTCTTTTCCAATGGGGTACATGATTTTGTCAAATGGAAGTATTTCTCCCAAAATTGGGAGTAGGCAACTAATCAGTTTAGCTTTGTGTTGTATGCTAGTTTAAAAAAGAAAATATGTAATATAATGTAAAAAAAAAAAGCTTTTATGATGGATTTTGTAAATAGATTTGTTACAGGGTATAACCTGTTCTAGCTGTGATCTTACCACTTCAAATGGGTGTAATTTGAATAAATTTTGTATGGTAAAGGATCAATAAAATGATTTTTTTTAAGAGTTTAGACTTGTGACTGGGTTTTCTTAATATTATCTTATGCACCTGCATTAACTTCACTTTTCAAGACATGCTTTTAAGCCAACGTTCAAAACATCACTGTTTGCTTAGTCTTTTTTTGAGATTTTGTGAACGCAGCACTGACCACCTGCAGAAACCACCCCAGACTTGGAAGTGACTTTTCTATTGACAAAGTGACAGGTCAAGATTCACTCCTCAAAAAATGTGAACCAAGAGGTTTTATTTCTCAGCATCAGTGATCATCTCCCTTACTTCAGATTCTGTGTTTCTTGTAATGCAAACTACAAACAGATTAGAAGAATTTTTTGACTACCATGTCATCCAAAATGTCCAGAATGCTGTGTGTCACACATATACACATGTACGCAATACACAAGAGAATGAAGTTCAAAATAGAAACATTAACTGGCCCCCCAATATATTCACCCCAGAGATAACCACTATTCTCATTTTTGTGTGTATATTTTAACATAAGTCACTTCTTCAATATAATAATCATCAACCTTTTTTCATTAATTATATCTTGGGCATCTTCCCATTTTTGTACTTTTGAGATCATGTTCATGCTCCTCAGGACTAAATACCATCCCAGTAATTCTAATAATAATGATTTCAGAGATTAAAGCTTTATATAATAATTTGCTTACCTAGGTAACATGCAATTTTGTTGTTGTTTTAAGATGTATTTATTTATGCATACAAGAACTAGGCCAGAGATGCAGGGGATGAGAGGACTCACCTGAGACAAAGCAGAGAGCGGAAAAGGCAGATCTACTGAAATACACTGCTGAGGGAGCAGCAGGGGAGACAGGAGAGGTCTGCTGTGCCATGTGTGTGGGTCAGCTCCCTGGCCGGGGATCGAACTTGTGCTGCATTGGCTGCAGAGAGCTTCATAGTGCTGTAATTCAACCCCTTGTACCACCAGGAAGGCCCACTCTTGGTTTTCAATCCATGCCTCACTGATATATATATACTCATCAGATACATGTTGAAATCTCTTTCCTTTAGAAAGTAAGCCCAGTGAGGGGAGTTCTGTACTGTTCACTGTTCAGTCTTCAGGGCCTAGAATAGTGGCTGGCACATACAACCACTGAATGAATACATATTTGAATGAATAATGCCTATTTTGAAAATGAATGGTCTGAGTTTTAAGCATGTTGTGACTGGAAGGGATCATGCTTAGTGAAATAATCCAGAAAGAAAAGGAAAAATACTGGATGATTTCACTCATAGCAGGAGTATAAAGGACCAAGGGAGAAAATAATAATAATAATGAACAACTATATACCATATATACAACTATATATTTTACGGGGGTGGAGTGGGGAATGGGATCTAAAATAGAAGGAAAAGGGTGTACGGGACTATGGTGATGGCGCATGGGTGATTTGGTGATGGGAGGCCCATGGGGATCACAACTGAGATGGAAACAGGCACAAGATGACGTAAAAATAAACATATTATTTTTTTTAAATAGGAAGAAAAAGTAATGGAAAGCGATATTACAATGAAAAAACCTTATCTATAACTATTAATATGATAATATTTGTCTTCCAAAAATATAAAAATAAATTCCAGAATATTTGGAAAAAAAGAATGTTGTGAAGCTCAGAAGTCTTCACCTGACCTGTCTTCATCCTTCTTTTGTACCTTGTGCTGAACTTTTTTTTTTTTTTTCACTTGATCTTTATTTCTGTCTAGAGTCCCATTTTGCCAGGGGAGCTGCACATTTGGCGAACAAGAGCAGGAGCCCTATGATCTCACCAGCTATACAATGTGAAGAAAAGGATATACACATACTCTCCAGGTAGACTAATGAGGGCAGGGGGTTGGGGAGCCAGCCAAAAAACAAAAAACAAGAATTGTCCAAATACAAAGTCAGCTGGAAAATGCAAATAAGGTAAATTAGAATCAGGAGTCAGGGCTGTGTCCTTTAAAAAGGTGAATGTTATATGACTGGGAAGTGTAAATATTTTATAATTCAGAACCTTGTATTGTTTCAGTGGGCTCTATTGTGAAGACAATTTAGAAATTCATCTCACTAATATTACAAGAAAGTAAATCGTTACGGAAAAGTTACTTGCATTCACTCATTGAGTGTACATGAAAAGAAATAGGTCAGGCACTTTTCTTGGTGCTGGAATCCATAGGAAAAGGTACCGTTCCTGTCAGCAAGAGAAAGCTTCCAATATAGTTAGAGAAGCAAATTTTACCTAGAAAAACAATGCCAGATCTTGAATAATCTGTTTTTCTTTCTGAAATCATATTTGAGAAACTTGGAAAGACAGATAGTTCCAGGCAAAAATGGAAGTTGAGGGACGATGCAGTCTTGCCAGTGAAGGGCTTTACATAGGAGAGCTTTTGCTCCAGGGTCACTTGGGGGCAATTCTAGTTCCAGATCCTGTGTATCCACATGCAAATTTTTCACATGCACTTGCCTGGGTAGACATAACAAATATGGGGGAAACAAGGAATAAATTTTCTGAGATGGAGGGGGGAGGGAGGAGGGCTCAATTTAAATCTAGACTACAGTCCTGATACCATGAAAGAAAATGACAAGATTAAATGGTAGGTCATGTATTGGGATATTAATGAGAATTCCTGGCACTGGCAACTTAGAATTAATCAGCCAGAAATCAGTCAGAAGGCAGCAGTTAACAGTTGTTACTGGAAGTTGTGCTCCATAGAATTCAAAGAGAAAGTTTTTCATTGTGCCCTTAAATCTGGGACTTGAATGCTGAAAGGTAAAACAGAAAAGCTTATTAAAATATACTGAAGTATTTATAACACAAGAAATTACCACTATGCTTTTTGAGTGTGTGAAGAGTGCCATCAAAATGTTCTGGAGTTTCTTTCTGCAAAAGTGTCTAGGAAACCCTGTGAGAAACAATGTTATTAGAGGTGGACTGCAGAAACAACATTGAAAACTCCCAGTACTGCTGCCATTGAGATGTTTTCCGGCTAAACAGAATGGAGAGAGTTAGTTTGTTTAAAAGAAAAAAGAAAAGAAAAAAAAAAAGATGATATATTTTTCCTACATCAATCACAGTGATTGACCTCAAACAAGATAAGGACATAGAGACATAAGAATTGAAACCTAGTGGAATGAAGACAGAAATAAGCCAAAAACGTTCATGGGAACCTAGCTTGTCAACACAAGGAAACCCATGTCAACTAGTAATGACCATAATATCATAGTATTTGAGTTACAAGGGAACCTTTTATCCAACAAGGAGCAGATTTTATATAACAATGAAATGGTCATTTTTATTTATTTATTTTCCCTTAAGGAATCCTGCTGCAAAGCTCTTAAACCTGTATCCAAAAGGTCTCTTAGTTCCCCTTCCCCATGCACGTTAGAAATCTGCCTCTTCCCACTCTTAGCCTCAGAACCATAGTGCGGCTGTCATGATTAATTCATCATTTTAAATTAAATAAGCTTCGAAAAGATCCCTGTTCAGACTGTCCACTAGCACTGTAATTCCGTCTTCCACACCACACTTCATGAGTGCATGCTGTCATCATCGATAGTCTCTGCCTCTGTGTAGCTGCAAACGGAGAGATGGAAACCACTGGAAGCATAAGTTAGGAAAACCTCTCAGTGATTCCTTTGTCCTCAGCCTTTGATAAAAATGGTCTTGCTGTATTTAAATAAGGGAAGAATCAAATTGGCCACAGCTTCTAAATAGGGTATCCCATTTCCTCCTTGAGAGACATGGACATCCCATCCAGTGCAAACAATTTTTTTTTTTTTTTTTTAGTGCAAACAATTTTTAAGCCTTATAAGCTTTTGAGTTTTTCTGCATAATCAGTCAGAGGCATTGGTCTCAGCTAAATCAAAATTATACCATGTATTTCATCCCTGAATAGTTCTTAGTGTGCACAGGGCTTTACAGTTTACAAAGTATTTTCATACGCCTTGTCACTGCATCTAAAGCCATTTGTAACTGATGGCAACAGCTGCAGAAGTAACTAATCAATCTAAAACTGACAGAACAGTATGTGGGCAGAGATGTAAACAGAGAAAGAAAAACATTTAGCTTTAAGCCATACACTGGAGACCCAAAGAACAAGAAGGAACACTGCAATTCCACAGGAGAGAGCTGAAACAATGACATTAGTGAATAAAAATTAAGCCATGTCAACAAGAGGATGTTTAAACTGGTTAGGGATGGGAATAAAGATTGTGTGTGCTTAGAAATAGCCTGAGACAGGAAAATCCAAGATGCTTAAAAAGAGTCGTAAGTTAATTCT